GACAATGGCGATATGGCATGTGACAGTTATAATAAAATAGATGTGGATCTATACATGTTGAGAGCCCTGAAAGTTAAAACTTACAGATTCTCCTTGTCATGGCCTCGAATTTTCCCCAATGGCTATAAATCTTCTCTTAACCAGAAGGGGGTGGACTATTACAACAGGCTTATAGATGGTCTCATAGTAAACAATATCACACCCATGGTGACTCTCTACCACTGGGACCTGCCACAGGCTTTGCAGGACATCAGTGGTTGGGACAACCTCGAAATGATTAACATATTCAATGAATATTGTGACTTCTGCTATGCAACATTTGGAGACAGGGTGAAGATTTGGATCACATTTAATGAACCCTATACCATTGCATGGTCGGGATATGGACTGGGTCAGATTCCACCTAATGTGAATCAACCCGGAGATGCTCCATACAGGGTTGCACACAACCTCCTGAAAGCTCATGCACAAGTATATCACACTTATGATGAGAAATACAGGGCATCTCAAGGAGGTCTGGTATCCATTAGTCTGAACGCTGAATGGGCAGAACCCCTAGACATCAATGTTCCTCGAGAGATGGTGGCTGCTGATCGAGCCCTTCAGTTCCAGCTAGGCTGGTTTGCACACCCCATCTTTAAAAATGGCGATTACCCTGATGCCATGAAGTGGCAGGTTGGAAATAAAAGTGAACTTCAAGGCTTGCCAAATTCCCGGTTGCCTTCTTTTACTGATGAAGACAAAGCCTTTATCCAAGGAACAGCTGATGTATTCTGCATTAATACATACACTACCAAAGTCGTGCGTCATGTGACCAGCAGACTCAATATTGAGTCTTATGAAACTGATCAGGATGTTGAAAAGGACAATGCAGATGGCTCTGAAAATACAGCTGTTAATGAGCAGAAGGCTGTTGCTTGGGGACTCAGGAGACTTCTTAACTGGTTAAAGGAAGAGTATGGAGACCCTGAGATTTATATTACAGAAAATGGTGTAGCTACAGGCACTGCTATAACAATTGATGACACTGATCGAATATTCTTCCTGAAGACCTATGTTGATGAGGCTCTTAAAGGTATTCATTACCGGCGCATATTTGTGCATAAAATCCAAAGAAAAATTAGTTTTTAAAACTACTACAGAATCTACATTTGAGATAAATAACTATTATTATTAATAGTGAATGCAGCCCAAAGTTTGTAATAGTGTTACTCTGCAAATTGCTGAACCTGACACACATTTACATGTATTCTCTTCTTAGCGCACAATCTGGATGGAGTACGTGTCAAGGGTTACATTGCTTCCTCTCTAATGGACTCCTTCGAGTGGCTGAAAGGCTACACTGTTGGCTATGGACTTCACTATGTGAACTTTAAACATTCAAGTCGGCCGAGAACTCCAAAGCGCTCTGCTCACCTCTACTTTGATATAATGAGAAATAATGGCTTTCCATTGCCAACAGAGGAAGAAATGTTATATGGACATTTCCCAGAGGGATTTATATGGAGCACAGCAACTGCTGCCTATCAGGTACAGTCCATTTTAACAAACACACTTTATTTTGATAGTCCAGCTTAGTCATTCTGCGGACTCTAAGTAACATTACAACTACATGTCAACTACCAGTTATTAAAGTATTAGTAGACTGTCTGCTCAATATCTGCTAATACTTCATTTTGACGGTTCCCAAACAGACATCTACTGACTGTAAGTAAATTTGCAAGTACATGTCTCATTGTTCTACTAACCCTAACCAATTAAGTCTACTAATACTCTTGAGGTTGACGTGTAGTTGCAAATTAATAAGAGCTGAAATGTAGTGTGTGAAATGTTTCATCCTATTGTATTTGTTCTGAGGAACTATGTTATTCTCCAACACCACAGATAGAGGGCGCCTGGAGAGCTGATGGAAAAGGTCTCAGCATTTGGGACAAATTTGCTCATACTGCTTTAAAGATATCGCAGGATGAAAATGGTGACATTGCCTGTGACAGCTACAACAAGATCGCTGAGGATATCAATAGTCTCAAAACACTGAGGGTCAACCACTATCGGTTTTCTATTTCATGGCCCAGAATTATGCCAGATGGAACGACCAGGAAAATTAATGAAGCTGGACTCAACTACTATCATAGACTAGTAGATGCTCTTTTGGCAGCCAATATCAAGCCACAGGTAAAATATATTGAATAAAATTGCTCTTGTAGCCTAAAGGATTTCAACAAATTTCTATTAATCATTTTGAATTGGCAGGTGACTTTATACCACTGGGATCTCCCACAAGCACTTCAGGATGTTGGTGGCTGGGAAAATGACACCATTGTCGAGAGGTTCAGAGACTATTCTGATGTTGTGTTCAACAGTCTGGGAGACAAAGTAAAGTTCTGGATCACTATAAATGAACCCTACAATGTTGCAATGATAGGACATGGCTATGGAAGTGCAGCACCAGGTGTCATTTGCACTGAAAATTATCCTCTTATTCTTTGTAAAACATGATTTTGACATTAATAAAGTAATTTACGGTTTTATTTCTGTCCAGGTATAAGTTTCAGACCAGGCACTGCACCATATATTGTGGCACACAACCTCATCAAGGCTCATGCTGAGGCCTGGCATGTGTATAATGACAAGTATCGTGCAAAACACGGTGGCATCGTTGGTATCACGATAAACTCTGACTGGGCGGAGCCAAGAAACCCATACAAACAGGAAGACGTGGACGCTGCCGTTCGTGTAGTTCAGGTACAGTTTTGTAGTTCAACCATTTCTGCATCCATGACAGTGTTGTTATCATTAACTAGAACTAAAAATGTTAATTTATTTTTCATCCCTCGAAACAGTTCCAGATTGGTTGGTTTGCTCATCCCGTGTTCAATGGAGATTATAGCGATTTAATGAAGAACATAATTCGAGAGAGAAGTTTAGCGGCTGGCCGACCACAATCAAGGTAAAGATATTATCTTTTTTTTTTTTTTTTTTAGGAATTCAAAGCTTTGTCAAATGCTTATGAATGTTTTTACATTTGCATTTTACGTCTAACAGGCTTCCAGAATTTACCCCGGCAGAAGTAGCGAGGATTAAGGGAACTCATGATTATTTTGGATTCAACCACTACACCACTGTCTTAGCCTATAACATGGACTACAAGAACCTCGAGCATTATGATGCAGACAGGTAGCCTTTAAAGTTTTACTAAACATAGTCCTACTGTTTCAGGCCCAATTTATTTAAAACATGCATCAATATTTATTATGTTGCCATCTATTCCAGGGGTGCAGGAACAGTTGCGGATCGTACATGGCTGGATTCTGGATCCTTCTGGTTGAAAGTAACTCCTGTGGGATTCAGAAACATTTTGAATTTCATTAAGGAGGAATATGGAGACCCTCCTATTTATATAACAGAGAATGGAGTATCAGAACGAGAGTCAATGAATCTGAATGATGTTCACCGAATCCACTACTATGATAACTATATCAATCAGGCCCTAAAAGGTAAAGAGATTTTGTTTTCCTCAGAGAGGACAGCATTATGCAACAGATTTCTGTGATGCTTTTCCATGCGTTTTAATATTATTGTTTGTTTTTTAGACTAGTATTTTGGTAAAAATTCATTTATGATAATTGCATAAAATGTCATCTCATTATTTAGCATATTTGCTGGATGGAATAGACATCCGTGGCTACGCTGCCTGGACGCTAATGGACAATCTGGAATGGGCGACGGGTTTTGATGACAAATTTGGCTTTTTCTATGTAAATCGATCAGATCCTTCTTTACCACGTATTCCTAAGAAATCTGTCTGGCACTATGCTACAATAATCAACTGCAATGGCTTCATAAGCCCAGGAGAAATTCCACATGAATGTCAGATCCACGAACCTGATGTTGACATCCCCGGTACTTATTTACTTATCTATATGTAGTCGTACCCTTTGTTCCATGCATTCATTAATTCGTCCATCAGTCCATCCATCCAACATCTTTTCTTGTTTGCAGGTACTACTCCTCCATCTCCTCCTGGTGAGGAACTGTTGGTTAGTTTCTTAGGCTTGGAAGTGTCAGCTCCTGATGCTACACTGGCTCTCAATGTCCTCTTCAGTCTCTCTATTATTGCAGCAGTCGCTGTTGTCCTCTTGGTGTATGGACTCGTCAAAACATCTAAGAAACAAAAACGTCCTGTAGAGGAACACATTGACCTTGAGAAAAAAGACAAGTTCTGAACATAACACCTGCTTTATGCGCACAGTAGATTGTTACGTTATGTGTGTTTTAATGCTTTGCATATGAAAGTTATTTCTGTACATGCTGATTTTAAAAAAGAAAGTCAAAAGAATAAAGTATTTCAGTTGTTAAGTCCCTTTTTACCTGATCATACATATCACAGTGTAAACAACATTTAACCAACGCCCACTGAGTCTTTGCTGATGCTATCAGAAGAAAAAAATACAGAACATAAATGATCCTGTGTGATGTAATTTCATAAGATAAGCATATGCGCAGAGATGCACAAAATTTTAAAGGTAACAGCGGGTGGATAAAAGATCACTGTAATGGGATATTAAGATTATAAAGATTTGTATCAATGGTGCAATGACTTTAAGTAAACTCACACATTTGCTGTTTATCTTAACAATGATAATTTGCTGTGAGTTATTACCCTGATCTACTCTATGATATCTATGCATAGTGACCCCTGTGTGGAGTTTTATGAAAGCCTTGCAAACACACACCGAGATAACAGGTATAATAAAAAAGAGAAACAGATTTGACATCTTCAGACAGATTTGTTATCTTCAGATAATGCAGATTAATATGATCAATGCAGTTTCTCTCAAGGCAAAGTTCACTTGAGGAATTCAAAGCTTTGTCAAATGCTTATGAATGTTTTTACATTTGCATTTTACGTCTAACAGGCTTCCAGAATTTACCCCGGCAGAAGTAGCGAGGATTAAGGGAACTCATGATTATTTTGGATTCAACCACTACACCACTGTCTTAGCCTATAACATGGACTACAAGAACCTCGAGCATTATGATGCAGACAGGTAGCCTTTAAAGTTTTACTAAACATAGTCCTACTGTTTCAGGCCCAATTTATTTAAAACATGCATCAATATTTATTATGTTGCCATCTATTCCAGGGGTGCAGGAACAGTTGCGGATCGTACATGGCTGGATTCTGGATCCTTCTGGTTGAAAGTAACTCCTGTGGGATTCAGAAACATTTTGAATTTCATTAAGGAGGAATATGGAGACCCTCCTATTTATATAACAGAGAATGGAGTATCAGAACGAGAGTCAATGAATCTGAATGATGTTCACCGAATCCACTACTATGATAACTATATCAATCAGGCCCTAAAAGGTAAAGAGATTTTGTTTTCTTCAGAGAGGACAGCATTATGCAACAGATTTCTGTGATGCTTTTCCATGCGTTTTAATATTATTGTTTGTTTTTTAGACTAGTATTTTGGTAAAAATTCATTTATGATAATTGCATAAAATGTCATCTCATTATTTAGCATATTTGCTGGATGGAATAGACATCCGTGGCTACGCTGCCTGGACGCTAATGGACAATCTGGAATGGGCGACGGGTTTTGATGACAAATTTGGCTTTTTCTATGTAAATCGATCAGATCCTTCTTTACCACGTATTCCTAAGAAATCTGTCTGGCACTATGCTACAATAATCAACTGCAATGGCTTCATAAGCCCAGGAGAAATTCCACATGAATGTCAGATCCACGAACCTGATGTTGACATCCCCGGTACTTATTTACTTATCTATATGTAGTCGTACCCTTTGTTCCATGCATTCATTAATTCGTCCATCAGTCCATCCATCCAACATCTTTTCTTGTTTGCAGGTACTACTCCTCCATCTCCTCCTGGTGAGGAACTGTTGGTTAGTTTCTTAGGCTTGGAAGTGTCAGCTCCTGATGCTACACTGGCTCTCAATGTCCTCTTCAGTCTCTCTATTATTGCAGCAGTCGCTGTTGTCCTCTTGGTGTATGGACTCGTCAAAACATCTAAGAAACAAAAACGTCCTGTAGAGGAACACATTGACCTTGAGAAAAAAGACAAGTTCTGAACATAACACCTGCTTTATGCGCACAGTAGATTGTTACGTTATGTGTGTTTTAATGCTTTGCATATGAAAGTTATTTCTGTACATGCTGATTTTAAAAAAGAAAGTCAAAAGAATAAAGTATTTCAGTTGTTAAGTCCCTTTTTACCTGATCATACATATCACAGTGTAAACAACATTTAACCAACGCCCACTGAGTCTTTGCTGATGCTATCAGAAGAAAAAAATACAGAACATAAATGATCCTGTGTGATGTAATTTCATAAGATAAGCATATGCGCAGAGATGCACAAAATTTTAAAGGTAACAGCGGGTGGATAAAAGATCACTGTAATGGGATATTAAGATTATAAAGATTTGTATCAATGGTGCAATGACTTTAAGTAAACTCACACATTTGCTGTTTATCTTAACAATGATAATTTGCTGTGAGTTATTACCCTGATCTACTCTATGATATCTATGCATAGTGACCCCTGTGTGGAGTTTTATGAAAGCCTTGCAAACACACACCGAGATAACAGGTATAATAAAAAAGAGAAACAGATTTGACATCTTCAGACAGATTTGTTATCTTCAGATAATGCAGATTAATATGATCAATGCAGTTTCTCTCAAGGCAAAGTTCACTTAAAACCGAGTTTCAGTACAAGATTGCTGTTACTGGTTTTATTTATCAAAATTACGTCCATGTTATTTAGTCCATAGGGTATATGTTTAGAGAGAGGTCTGATTTTACAGGCAGAACAAACAGGTTGAGTGACACAACATTTGCCTCTTCAGGCCACTATCAGAAACTGTCCTGCTGAAATCTGCTATTTTTTCATAAGAAATCTGTCTGGCACTATGCTACAATAATCAACTGCAATGGCTTCATAAGCCCAGGAGAAATTCCACATGAATGTCAGATCCACGAACCTGATGTTGACATCCCCGGTACTTATTTACTTATCTATATGTAGTCGTACCCTTTGTTCCATGCATTCATTAATTCGTCCATCAGTCCATCCATCCAACATCTTTTCTTGTTTGCAGGTACTACTCCTCCATCTCCTCCTGGTGAGGAACTGTTGGTTAGTTTCTTAGGCTTGGAAGTGTCAGCTCCTGATGCTACACTGGCTCTCAATGTCCTCTTCAGTCTCTCTATTATTGCAGCAGTCGCTGTTGTCCTCTTGGTGTATGGACTCGTCAAAACATCTAAGAAACAAAAACGTCCTGTAGAGGAACACATTGACCTTGAGAAAAAAGACAAGTTCTGAACATAACACCTGCTTTATGCACACAGTAGATTGTTACGTTATGTGTGTTTTAATGCTTTGCATATGAAAGTTATTTCTGTACATGCTGATTTTAAAAAAGAAAGTCAAAAGAATAAAGTATTTCAGTTGTTAAGTCCCTTTTTACCTGATCATACATATCACAGTGTAAACAACATTTAACCAACGCCCACTGAGTCTTTGCTGATGCTATCAGAAGAAAAAAATACAGAACATAAATGATCCTGTGTGATGTAATTTCATAAGATAAGCATATGCGCAGAGATGCACAAAATTTTAAAGGTAACAGCGGGTGGATAAAAGATCACTGTAATGGGATATTAAGATTATAAAGATTTGTATCAATGGTGCAATGACTTTAAGTAAACTCACACATTTGCTGTTTATCTTAACAATGATAATTTGCTGTGAGTTATTACCCTGATCTACTCTATGATATCTATGCATAGTGACCCCTGTGTGGAGTTTTATGAAAGCCTTGCAAACACACACCGAGATAACAGGTATAATAAAAAAGAGAAACAGATTTGACATCTTCAGACAGATTTGTTATCTTCAGATAATGCAGATTAATATGATCAATGCAGTTTCTCTCAAGGCAAAGTTCACTTAAAACCGAGTTTCAGTACAAGATTGCTGTGACTGGTTTTATTTATCAAAATTACGTCCATGTTATTTAGTCCATAGGGTATATGTTTAGAGAGAGGTCTGATTTTACAGGCAGAACAAACAGGTTGAGTGACACAACATTTGCCTCTTCAGGCCACTATCAGAAACTGTCCTGCTGAAATCTGCTATTTTTTCATATTGCTCTGTATCGCTGGATACAGTCTTTTATTATTGAATTATGAAACCATGTGTTTTTATCAGCCACAGTGAGCTGTGATAGTGAGAATGAGGGCAACAATGCCACTGTTTATTTCTATGATGGCCAGAAGAATGAGTTATACTAGGCCCAAGAAACCAATTAAATACCCGAGTTTGAATTACTTTGGCAATCCAACTTCATCTTTTAGAGTTTCAGTGGAAGGCGTTGCGTTTACAAGTCCGTTACCTCCATGTTGTTCAAATTTACAATTATAGGGAGTCTGTCAATTAGAGATGTTTTAATAAGGTGTGTCATTGGTGTTTCTGAAAAAAAAAATAAGTTACAACTATTCCTGAAAAGATAAGACTCAGTCCAAAGGTTTCTACAGTAGGCTGATGTGCTTTAATGAGTTTTGTCTGCTGACATTTGAGGTTTCTGCAGGTTTGTGAAAGAGTCTGTAGAATAAAATTATGTTTTGAATAAAAATTCATATTCTGTAAATACACTTTTTAAGTAAGCTGGCTCGGTTTTGAAAAAATCTCTTCACTACTCAATCACAAAGCACTGCTCGCCACCTCCTGGCGTAGCGACGGGACCTTCTGAAAAAGTCAATGAACGGATCAGTGAATGAATCTTTCGATTCACTTGGATGAATCAACATCACTGTGTAGCCTATTCGAAGTTATACTGCGGGGCCGTTGAATGCTTGAATCTGATTGGCTGACGAACGTTCTGAGGTGTGCAATTATTTTCAAGGAAACGCACGGCGAACGTAGTTCCAGACAGCTCTCTTGACCGCATTACAGTTCCATATCACTTCGCATAGTTAACTGTAATAACGGAAATTAGTACAGTACCTATACAGCACACAGGGACTACTGCAATCACACGTGCTCGCACACTACGGTCACGCAGTTTGCACAAAAAGGTGTTGTCAGCGCTGCCCTGCCGATTTTATCAGTTAGCCTATATAGCAGGGCTGCCCAAACTCGGTCCTGGAGGGCCAGTGTCCTGCAGAGTTTAGCTCCAACTTGCCTCAACACACCTGCCTTTTAAGTTTCTAGTATGCCTAGTAAGAGCTTGATTAGCTGGTTCAGGTGTGTTTAATTGGGGTTGGAGCTAAACTCTTCATGACACAGTTTGGACACCCCTGCTATATAGTGTAGCAACTTAAAGGCTACACATGACATTTCTCACTAGCGAGGTAATAACAGCGGCGCTGTTTAGAGACGCTGCTGCAGAACACTGTTGAAGGACGCACAGAGGTTGCCTAATTCACACAAGCTCTCTCTCTCTCTCTCTGTCGCTCTCTTTCTAATAACTTCATTAATAACTGCATTAGAATGCTATCAACGGCTCAAGCCTCCATTACCAGCTTTAAAATGACGTTTTGGAACTAGCAAAAGAGGCGTTGGATGAGATGCGGAAGAAATAATCCTACTCACAATAGCGATTTAAGTACAAAAACCGGACGAATCCCTTTAAATATATAATCTGATCGATGTCTTGAGGTGTGGTAACCATAGTATAAGCGGAATAATTGACTCCGGGCCGTTGAATTATTAGAAAAGTAATGCACACCCGAGGTGTAACTTTTCTAATAATTCAATCATAATAATTAATAATTCGTCAATTATTCCTTAACATTACATATTCTGCAGCGAGAGAAGCAAAGAAACTGGAATAACTGTTCAACAAACAATTCAGAGTTCCTGACTGCATTTTCCTGAGTGAAACATGACAAAATAGGCTAACCCTGTAGCCTACATGTGAATGCTATGCTAATTCACTAGCTTTTGCCTAAATTGAAGCTAATCTTACATTTATTTTTAAAAAAACGACGACATTCGTTTAAATAGCGCGATGTGCTCTATTTTTTAGATAATTACATTTAATTTGAACATAAGTATGTTATGTATGCAACTTGAAAACAATTATCTGGATATTGCTTCACGACCTATAATATTTTTATAATAACCAACTTTACAACATAAACTGTAGGCTTTATATTTATATGTGATGTAGCCTGTATATGTTTATATATTTAATACTGTTTTTCATACATTTTTAAAATTGTTATTTTTTAATGTGTTTTTGACCACACAGCATCTGTGCAGGACACAGGTATTTTCTCAAAGGATGCGGCTCTTCTCAAAACTTTGGATAAGAAAAAAATCAACAGTGCAAAAATTAAACAAAATAATACAAATATTACAACGTATATCAAATAATGCGTACTGTAAACCATTCATTTTAGACTGTCCAACAGCGTCACCAGTGGATAGAGGGAGGTTTTCTTTTTTTCTGATGGGCTCGTTATCACTGCATTATATGACTTGACTTTATATAGCCTACCACAAAGATTTATTTTTGTATTTAATGCAAATCTGTATAGAAAGTACAAACTTTTATTATTTATCAGAGCTTAACATGTTTACGCATATAAGTCATACAGTACTGCAGTACAGAGACTTTGGTGACACTATGGATACTGTGGAGACATTTGTCTGTAGACAACATTTTTTACGTAATTACAACTGGAGGGTACAGAAGGGAATAAGCTGGTACAATTATGTTTTGTACATTTTTAGTAGCTATATCACACTGTCCCTAGAGCAACCTTTTTGATAAGGCCTGTGGATGAATACTCGTTAACTAGGGACTCCAGTGTATTCTGCCCTGTTGCATAATATTTTGCATGTGCTTGCTGTCATTTGGACACAAACTAAATGTTTGTTTGCCTTTGAATTTACTAATAAATCAAAGAATCTTCTTCAGGTCCCAGTAAACTAGATCATGCATCTTTATGAATGCATTTCTTTTTTGCATGAAATTATAATGTAGCCATTATCATCGATCTATGATTGTGTATACAAACCAAGGCAGGCAATCGTCTAACATCAAGATGTGTGACTAAAAAC